CGGGGAGCCATAAGACCATTTGCGGTGGGCGTTTGGGAGCGCAGTGTGCAACAGATAACCAGGGAGGCCGGTGAGGGCTGGGCTGGGAACGTGGCATGAACACATGCGTGTCCAGCACAGTGACCGTGAAGGGTCAATGTCTGCTCCAGCTCTGCCCTCAAATGAAGCAAGACCTATAGCAAACGCCTGGGTTTTGTGTTTTATGTGGTGTTCCAGTTTCTCCAAGCCTAACTGAAGGGATACCCATTTGGCTGAAATGTTCACCTAATATAACCCTTAATGTTTGGGAGATTTTTTTCCTTTTACATTAATATGGGAAAAGTCATCAAAATAATAATGTACTTGATATATCTTTCCAAAAGATAGATTTGTAAAATAAGTTTTCTTCAAGAAGACCAATTATAAAAATTGAGAGCCAGAGCCAGGCATTGGTGGCGCACACCTTTAATCCCAGCACTCAGGAGGCAGAGGCAGGCAGATCTCTGTGAGTTGGAGGCCAGACTGGTCTACAGAGCGAGTTTCCAGGACAGCCTCTAAATAATACAGAGAAACCCTGTCTCAAAAAAGAAAAAATGAGAGCCCGTAAGTGGCCTCAGCAGGTAAAGGCATTTTCCACTAAGCCTGACAACTTGAGTTCAATGCCTGGACCACGCATGGCAGAAAGAGGCAACCCCTACAAGTCATCATCTGACCACCGCATCTGCACGAGTCCGCATGAACACACACACACACATGAATGATAAATGTAATGAGAATTTTAAATTAAAAGCCTAAAGTAATTAATCTTGACTCAGCCAAGCTATCTTTCTGGAAGTGATAAAATAGGGCAATCCAAGTGACTTATTTTCCACAGACCTAACAATACAGAGGCAGATGGACAGAAATGATATATCTTTTTGACTGTGTCTCATACATCAAGAATGCACAGGAAACTAGGACTGCTAGTTAGATTTTGCTCAATCCCTGACCAAATTCTCCACTTGGTGTCTGACACAGGGTGGTTCTTGAAAGGGCAGGATGCAGTGTGGCTCATCAGAGGTTACCTAGAGGTCACAGATGTGTGCTAACAGAGTTGACACAGTATTAACAACATGGACTTCTACAGAAGCAGGCCTAGACTGAAGATCATGACTTTTCCCACAGAAGTGACAAGATCATATTTTCCTTGATCATAAAGTTTCATCAGTTCTGCTCAGACTCTTAAAAGAATGTATTTAAATTTTACTGCTTTCTGTCATAAACTTTTTTAAAAAGGCTATTTTAGCTTGAAAAATGTTGAAATTATATTCTTCAAAGGGATAAACAAAACTCAAAGGCTTCACTTCTAATAATTCACACTGCGGAGAAATTGTATAAATGTGGCAAAGCCGTAAGTTCCCATTCAACTCTTATTATTTATACTAGAGAGAAACTATATAAATGTAAAGGTTATGGAAAAGCCTTCAAAATAAATCCAGTCCCCTAGCCTCTAGTTCTTGTGTTGTGAACAAAACTCCAAGACAACCTTCCTCTTACACTTAGTAAGTACCTGGAAAGTGTGTTTAATAACAAACCACCTCCAAGAGACAGGCAAAACAATAGAAGCCACAGAATGCTCCCTCCCAGCACCAACCAATGAGAACAGGCTACCTGCAAGTAACAGACAAAGTCATAGAAATCACCAAATTTCCCATCTGTAACCAAGCAATCAAAAATACTACCAAACCAGTTGCCCTGACTCTGAGAAATTCCTCTAATTGTTCCCCAAATGTCAACCAATCAGTATCTGACCCATACCTACTGATGTAATCCTGTGATTTTTTCCTTAAAATCTGGCAATAGATAAGGGACTCCACTCCCTCTGGAGGCTGCTGCATCAGCTGCATTTGCAGTTTGGTGAGTCTGTCTCCTTGGTGGTCTCTGGGGGTCTTTGAGACTTGGGCTCAACAATCCTATCGATTAATACTTTGACCAAAGAAATTCTCTATATCAGGCTTCAGTGGAACTTTCAGCTTTGGCTATACTCTGAATCATCTGAGGAATTTTAAACCAACTGATATCTGAGGTTCTGATTGAACCAATTTGAGTTGTAGATTTGGCTTTAGTATGAAAAGCTTCCTAAGTGGCCCTGATATGAAACTCTTGTTCAAGTGCAGCTGTTTCTGTTGCAGTGTCTTGGTGATGAGGTCATGAGGGAGCACCATCAACATGAGGGGGAGGACACTTTCCTCTTCACATTGGTTGTGAAGAGAGTCTTTTCAAGTGCATAGCCCTACTAGCTTCATTTCCCTCCTCAATTAACAACCAAGATAATATCCTACAGACACAGACACAGACCAACTTAATCTAGATAATTCTTCATTAAGATCCCCTTTTCCAGCTGAGCACTAGTGGTGCATACCTTTAATCCCAGCAGAGGAAGGTGAATCTCTATGAGTTTGAGGTCAGCCTGGTCTAAAAGAGAGTTCCAGGACAGCCAGAACTGTTACACAGAGGAACCCTGTTTCAAAACAACAACAAAAACTAACCAGCACAAGTTGGATGTGGTGGTGTACACTTTAATCTCAGCACTTAGGAGACAGAGACAGATAGGTCACTGTGAGTTCAAGGCCAGCCTAGTCTTCAGAGTGAGTTCCAAGACAGCCAGGGTTGCTACACAGAGAAACCCTGTCTTGAAAAAACCATATCAGGGGCTGGAAAGATGACTCAGAGGTTAAGAGCACTGACTGCTCTTCCAGGGGTCCTGAGTTCAATTCCCAGCAACCACATGGTGGCTCACAACCATCTACAATTCAATCCGGTGTCCTCTTCTGGCATGTAGGCAGAACACTGTATATGTAATAAATAAATAAATATCGTTTTTAAAAAAACAATATCAAACCAAAAAGAAAACACACACACACAAAGAAAAAACAAAAAAATAAAAAATGAGACCAAAACCCCACAAGAACTTAAAGCCCACTCCCAGTGACACACCTTCTCAAGTAAAGCTAAACCTATTCCAACGAAACCATACGTCCTAATCCTTCGCAAACAATTCAACTCACAAATGACTGAGCAATCAAACATAGGAGCCTATGAGGACCATTCTCTTTCAAACCACCACAATCTCTTCTTCCCTAAATTGCTGTCAGAATATTTTATCACAGTAATATAAATGAAACTAGAAAGCTGCATTAGTGGCACGCACCTTTAATCCCAGCACTGGGGAGGTAAAGGCAGGTAGATCTCTGTGAGATTGAGACCAGCCTAGTGTACAGAGAAAGTTCCAGGACAAGGTCCAAAGCAACAGAGAAACCCTGTCACAAAAAAAAAAAGAAAGAAAAGAAATTGGTAGTAGAAATTGGGATACACACACACACACACACACACACACACACACACACTCAGGAAAGTTATGATGATATGTTTATGTGTCAAGTTAACAAGGAGTAGATTGTGCTGGTTATGTTTTTGGGTTTGGGGAGTATTTTCATTTTGTTTTGTTTATTTGCCTCTGCCTCCTGAGTGCTAGGATTAAAGGCATGTGCCGCCACTGCCTGGCAGGCTTTGAGGTTTTTAAAAGCCTACACTAGGCCTAGTGTCTCTCTCCTCCTGCAGATCAGGATGTAAAGCTCTTAGCTACGGTCTCAGCACCATGCCTGTCTGCTTCCTGCCATGATGAACGTGGGCTAACCTTCTAAAACTGTAAGAAAGCCCCCAATTAAATACTTTCCTTTGCAAGAGTTGCTTTGGTCATGGTGTCTCCTCATATAAACAGAATCGTAACTAGGACAGGGATTATTTGTCATATCATTTCACAGCAGTCCACCGTTGCAGGAAAATCATAGATGCAGGAGCTTCAGACAGCTGGTGGAAACGTATCCACAATCAAGAGATGTTCATGGAACCTTGCTTGCCAGCTTTCTTTACTTTTCTACAGTCCAGGGCCCAGCCTAGGAAATGGTGCTGCCCATAGTGGGCTGGGTGTTTCTACTAAGCATTTAAACATATGAGCCTATGGGGGCCATCCTCACTCCAACCACCACAATCCTTTCTTACCTATGTTGTTTTCATCAGGATATTTTATCACAGTAATATAAATGAAACCAGAACAGAAATTGGTACCAGGAGCAGGATAGTTGCTGGGTACTAGGATGAAAAAAAATCAGTCAAGATAATTCCTCCCAAACATGCCTATAGTCTGACAAGATCTAAACAATTACTAATTAAGACTCTCTTCTGAGTGGCTCTCAGTTGTATCACATTGACAGTTAAAACTAGCCAGCACAGTGCCCAAGACAGAGGAAGAGCAGCCTTGGGACACAGCCCCCTTTCCATCACTGAGAAGGTAGGAACTCACTACTATCCAGGCTAATCTTGGCAGTAGTGTATCAGTAGGAAGAGACATTAAGAGTGTCTGATGTGAGCATTCCAATACCATGGGCTCCCGTCTGAATCAAAGGAATCAAGCACCGTGGAGTTCGTGGGTCTTGTACACTCTTCATTTCTTTATTATTTTGGGGTTTAGTGTAATGTCTGATGTTTATGTTTGGAGGAATTCTAAGAATTTTGAACTTTCCAGCTATTCTGGGTGACTTACAAATCAGATTTCTTCTTCTAGATAAAGGCAGCATAGCTATGGTTCTGTGTGATACGGCTCTTCGGGGCCATTCAGATCCTCATTTAGCTACTGCAAGCTGTTGGAGCCTCAGCGAGCCAGTTACAATTTCAGAATCTCAATTTCATTATCTCATAGACTGTGGTAAGGACTGCCAATGCTTTGCAATGTCGATTTTCAACAAATTATAACACCAACAAGTCTAGATTGCAGGATTTTAAAGGGCACAGATTTATACTTCCTCAGTCTATGGAGACTTTAACTTCAATTGTAACTATATGTTTACAGTTCTCTAATATTTATGGGGTATGTCCAGTCACAAGGGCACAATTCTAGCTTCATGAGTCATAGGAAACACAAGAAAGTCCTTTACAGGCTGGCAGGATGATGCTGGTACTCATGTTTTTGAGGAAGTCTCTGGCTGACCACAGCATCAGAGCCAGTCTTAGGAAGTTTCAAAGTGTGGATCCTAGTTCCAGATAGCTTGGGCTTGGATTTTGCTTTTCACTCTTGCTTTTCTTGGTGGAGCCACTTAATCCCTCTCCCCTCCATTTCGTTATCTGGAAATTGGGCATGTTCACTGGATGAGTAGAACTATGAAGAGCCCTCAGACCGAGCCCTGAATTTTACTGAAGCTTCAGAAAGGACTCGCTATTGCTATTGTTGGCTTCAGGAGTATGGATCTGACTCAGGTACTAAGAGGAAGTGCTGGGGGCCAGCAGGTCGCATGTAACAGAAATGAGATGATCTGATTTGTGAGACGCGCTGCATATCTAGGAAAGCAGCCCAGAGGAAGCCAGGGCAACGGGAAACATGGCTGCTCTCTCACTACCCAGTGCAGACAGCGCACACTGATGTCACTTTTGGGCCATCCGCCAACTCCTCAGAAGTTGACCAGCCCTTATTTACATAATACTTCCCAGGGCAGCTGTGAAGGTCTTAAAGGAAGTGAAAAGTAGAACCTCTGAGGAACACAGTCTGGGACTGGACATGGAGTCTGTATGGCGAACAGAGGCTGAGGTGACATGGCTAAGTATAAGTTGTGTGGGTTTGTCTGTTTCTCTCTTTTTCTTTCCTCTCCAAGTTCCACTCCCCCTCCCCCCAGTAACAAGCAAGAATGTAACAAGAATGCAGAGAATCAGGGAGTGGATTATCCAGGAAAAGCTGTGGGAGTTAGGAAAGCCTTCTTAGTAGTATTTTTTCCTATTCATATCAGCAGGGCTTACTGAACAGCACTGTGTGGCAGGTTCTGAGCTAAGTCTGTGAAAAATAAGACAAAAAGACACTGTGTGTCTCTGACTGTATTCCAATGACCATTCAGGACCATCAAGGAATCCATTTATAAGGCTCTTTTCTTGTCCTATGATCAAATGAAGAAGCTTTCTGGAGTAAAGGTACAAGGTTGATAAGAGCATCAGAGAGAGAGGACAGAGGTGTAGCCCTGTGTGAAAGCTAATAGAGAGGGAGGAGGGGGCGTGGGTGATCTGGAGGCGGGAATGGCAAGGAGCGCCATCCACAGAGGCGCACCAGGACCCAGCTGTCTTTGTAGATTGGGTACTAGAAATAGCTCAGTGCTCTTAGGATGTAAGGCTGGAAAGAACAGGATATGACAGATGAGATTAATCTCTTCGCAGGTCTGAAGGACAGCACCAGCTTCCCCTGGAGATGAGGAAGTTCCACCCGTGTAAGACAGAGATATGGCATAGTCAGATTTGTTTGAAATTCATGGAGAACACAGAGGTAGAGTGTGTTAGTAAGGAGTGGGGATCGCTGCATGTAAGAAGAGCAGCTTGAGCTGACGGGAATGCATTTCTCACACAGCAAAGGGGTGGTGACGGGTGGTCAGGGCCTGGCAGATGCTCTGCTCTCTGCATGTTTCATTCTCACAGTGCCCATGCTGGTTGTTGAGCTCAACACGTTACCCCTGTGTTTGAGGCTACAAGCATGAGGAAAGAGTCAACGGTTCCTTCATCATCAACTATAATTGAGACCAACAGACTCTCAGCAGATTTTTGGCATTTAGGTAGATACGATCCCAGATGGCCTCCTCTGTCTGTAAGAGAAGCTAAGCAAGCAATAATTCTCCCTCCATGAAAGGCGTGTATGCGGGAAGTTGGAAATGAGCAATGAGCAAGTCAAGCTGCCATTTCTTCCACCAAAGTTCGCAAGTGAGAGACGGTGAGGACCTGCAGCCACACAATGGCAACAAAAAAGGGACGCTACTGCCTTTGCAGGAAACTTCAGAGATTCTGATCGGTTCTTCTCGGTGTGGGGTCATGAGTCATCCATCTCTGGGGGAAGCTCAGCAAAGGGTTAGATGTAAGTTCAAAACCAACGGAAGTCTCAGGGCTTGGTCTGAGACTATGGCTGAGAGGAGGAGCCATTAGAAGAGTCTGGACACCAAGGCTGGCATGCAGAGAGAAGAGCAGGGGGCACCATGGTGACACTCGTTTAGACAGTGGAGGCAGAAGATGAAAACCTTCAGGGAGGCTCTACAAGAAGATGGCCAGAAAAGTCAAGGGAACGAAGAATTTCCAGAAAGAGGTCCCAAAACGGTCAGAAATACCAAAGAGGTCCTATAAGGCAGAGGACTGGAAAATGCCTGCAGGATCTGACCATACGATTTCCTAGTTGGTCTTGATCTGAGCGGTCGATTGGTGAAGATGGGGCAATCCTTTACCTGTAGTGAAGGAGGGCAGCAGGCAAGTTCAGATTCCTTCTTAGTGGAGGCTCTAGAAGTTGAGAGAAATAAAACCGGGTGATGGGATAGAGGAAGAAATTAATGGCTTGGCTGGACTGTATTTAGAGGTTAGGAGAAGCCAACAGAAAGGGAAGGGATGAGGACACAGGAGTCTCTAAAACGCTAGAGGAAAGGCATGCAGGCCTCTCCCTTATCTGTTCAACCAACTGCAGCCCCAAAACTTTCCAGAAGTAAACAATGCGTAGGTTTCTAATACGTCTTACTAAAGTATATTGTTATAATTGTTCTATTTTGTCATTGTTAATATTTTAGGATTTACTCTTACTATTACTTTTAATTACATGTAGGTGTCTGTGTCTGTATGTCTCTGGTCTCCTGACTACACATAGAGCATGCTCATCCGTCTATGCATGGAACATGCTCTTGAGTACTTGTATCTGTCTGCACACTGAGGAGCAAATGTGTTTTCATTTTCCTGTTCAAAATAACAGGAAGTATCATTCTTGAAGTCTTCCTATTCATAACAGAAATGTAACGAAAAAACACAAAACAGCAACAAAAACCAGAAAGTCGCTAGTGATGTATTGGGGAGGCATGGTGTTTGGTACCACACCTCACGAGGTGGATAAAATAATCTCCACTCTCAAACAGTATTCAGTCTACCGTAAGAACCCAACACAAGCTGGCGGTGGTGCCGCACGCCTTTAATCCCAGCACTCGGGAGGCAGAGACAGAGGCAGGTGGATCTCTGTGAGTTCGAGACCAGCCTGGTCTACAGAGTGAGTTCCAGGACAGCCTCCAAAGCGACAGAGAAACCCTGTCTCGAAAAACCAAAAAAAAAAAAAGAACCCAACACAGGAGGGCTAAATACTTCGACAAGAGTCCTTTATAGCTTCAGCTTGAAGGGGCCTCTGCCTCTTCAGTCAGCTGGCAGGTCATGGAAATTCTACCCCTGCAAAGGGAGCTGTGGGCACAAGAGAAGTGTTTCTTCCCTCTTCACTCAGACTATACCCAAACAGCTAGGACAGCTTTTCTTTTCCCCAAGACACAAAGTGACATTTTTTAAGAAGAGAAGCCTCTCTTTTGGTGCCAGACTTGTTTAAAAATAAAGTAGAAGGTCTAAGGAATGTCTGTTTAAGCACAGCTGTCCAAAGCCTCATATTTGAAGAATTCAGAAAAACAGGGCTGTTCCTTCCAGCCAGTTCTCTCCTGGACCCACTCCTTGCTACTCAGATTGCATCGGACACAAAGCTAGTGGTGCTATCTTTAGTTTCAAAGGCCAGGTCTGCCTATTTTGCTGGTGAATGCATGGAATGTTACAGCCTTGTATTTAAGCTCTGTTTTCTGAACCTGATCATGGCCATGAGCTTGTAGGGTCAAGGACTACGTCCTGAGAGCCTTCGTGATCTTACCTGCCATGGCAAGCTTGCAGGAATATCGGATGAATGAAAGAATGCAGAGAACTGGGGAGCAGTGGCAGGTGGGTTGCTAAGCAGCCTGGTAAAGAGGATTACAAACGAGCCACAATTAGTAGACAAGGTGGCAGAGAGGAAACAAAGTTCTGAGTCGGCAGACCTAGGTCCTAGTCCCATGATGCCTTGCTTGACTTCACCTGCTCAACAAACACTTCTTGGCATCCATGGCAAGCTCTGACAAAATTCCTGCTCCCAAAGCACACTGATGATGGCTGAGGGGATCTAAGAGGGATGTGTGGGAGGAGATACCACCATGGTAAGCTAGGGCAGGTGCTAAGCAAGACAGGGCTTCTAATCAGGCTGTGTTTTCCAGGAATTTTTCTTGAAGGATGCAAAGTGTTTAATGACTGGGAGAACTCACCATAGGAAAGGGGGCTAGCATGTGATTATTCTGCATCAGGAAATACAGGAGGTGACACTTGAGAGGTGATGGTAATAGCCAGGGATGAAGTAAGAGAAGTAAGCTACTTTGCAAAGTAAAAATGCCATTGCATCCAAATGATTGGAAGTTGAGGGTAGACGCTTAGGGGTTAGACAAAACTGGGTTCAAGTCTACACTCTGATACACACTGGTCATGAGATAATAATCACTGTTTAAACCAACTCTCCAAGCTTAGTTTCCTTAGCACAGTGTCCATTCGATTCTGCTATCCATTGCTGTGCAGCAACCCTTCTTAAATGTAATGGTTTAAGACAGCATATATTTAGTAAGTCCCAAGGTTCTTATGGGTCAGGAATCTGGGTCATCTTAACAGAGGCCTCTGCGTCAGGGTCTCTCACAAGGCTGCATCCGAAGTCAGTCAGGGCTGTGGCTGTCAGCAGAATTTAGTTTTTCGTTGGCTGGTGGCCAGAGGCTGCCAGTTCTTTGCTGTGTTGCCTTCTGAATACAATACCTGGCTTCCTCATAATCAGTGGAGACTGGTGTTGGCTGGCAAGACAGAAGGGTCGCGTAAGTGAATTCTCATCACTTCGGCTGTGTTCTGTTGGTTAAAATGCACAGGCTAGCCCACTGTTGGGGGGGATTATACAAAGGAGTGAATACTACAGGGTCAGCATGTGGGGGATTCCTTCTTGGAGTTCGCCTCACCCCTAATTTGTAGGACAGACCACCAATCAGTGTTAGCAGTTGTTATGCTGAACTGAGAGAATCTATGGGGGGAGGGGGATGGGAAAGTAACTGAAGGTGACCTTGGACAAGTGAAATCACCTCAGTCTTTGTCCTCAGCAAAATGTAAATACTTGGTCCCAGAAAAAAACATACCCCTCTCCAGCTTGGGGAAACAAATTGCTTTTGGTCTTTTTTGTTGTTGTGTCCGCTGTCTTAAAGGGTTTTTAGTATTTGGCTCCTTGGGTTTTAAAGAACTACATTGCTGGGATAAACACAAACCAAGAGCTGTTAGAGCCCCTTAAAGTATTTCTAAGCCCCGACCCTTTTCTCTTTTAAACTACCTTTGCTTTGGGGGGCGGGCAGAGCTGAGAGAAAACAGACTAAGTGGGAAATTTCAAGCTCCTGATAATAAACTGGTAATAAAATCTCATCCGGCTCCCGAGGGTTCGCAGAGGAGATGTTTATGGTGGAGGGGGTTCCCCACACCAGCGCAGCTGCTTTCTAGGTTGAGAGGTTTCTAGTCCTGCAGGGCAGCTCAGGTTACCTACTCTGTGGCCTCCGCTAGGACAATTCCTATCCTGGCAGGCTTGGGGGGCGGGGGCACTTGATCAGCCCGCCCTGGCGCCTGGCCGCCCCACTCCAGGCTCCAATTCGAAGAGATTCGTGGGATTCACCGTCTGCCCTGGGGCGGGTTTCCCCAGGGAAGGCAAACAACTAGGGAGGACATTTCAAAGGGTGGCAGAGTCAGCCCAGCACTAGCCAGCACTCGGAGGGAGCTAGGGAGTCAGCCTTTCACAAGCTGCTTCTCAGCAGGAAGTTTGGGTGGGGCGGAGCAGTCCCGAGATGGAGACAAAGCTCCTTTGAATCTTTATCCAGGGGCCTGGCCGCTAACGAGAGGGGTGACGCGGACCCTAGGGCAGGGCACCAACCCCAGTGTGTAACCCCATCACCCTCTCTCGCTCCGCCAGCCCAGCGCGCACAGTCGCTGCAGCCTTCAGACGCACGCACGCCGGGGGCCCGCCGGGGCGTGAGGTCACCTCCTGCAGCGTGGCAGTCCCTATAGGAGGGTGGGGGGGATAGCCTAGGAGCAACGGGCCAGCAGCCTCACCTTCCCAGCCCCGCCGCTCCAGCGAACTACCGCAGTCTTAGAAAACTTAATGAGAACCAGATGTGGTGGCCGATGGCGAACTTTCTCAGAGTTGCTGATTGGTCAGTGTCCAAGAGCCGTAGCCAATCGGCGCGCTGGGCGGGCACGCAGTGCGGACTAGAGGTCCAGGTTGGAGATCAGCAGGCAGTGTGGCCCGCAGAGAAGCGCTGACTGAAGGGTTAAGGCCGGGAGAGGCGAGCATGTCGCGGGACCCGACAGCAGGGCGGCTAACGCCGCTGTGGCTGTGGCTGCTGCTGCTGCCGCGAGTCGGGGCTCTGCGTCCTGATGAGCTCTTCCCGTACGGAGAGTCGCAGGGAGACCAGCTGCTGCCGCAGGGCGACGACGAAAGCTCAGCAGCCGTGAGGCTGGCGATACCCTTACGCTTCTACGATGCCCAGTTCAGCGACCTCTACGTAAGTTTAGGACCTGGAGGTGCGCGGCTGGGTGAGGGTCTCGAAGCTTCTTCCCAGGGTGTCCTTGGAGTGGAACAACCTCTTTGCCTAGCTGTCGTCCCTCTGGGGACCAGGCTCTGCCACGGTGCTGCAGCTTCGTGAACCCTGCTGTGCAGGCATAAGGGTCATCTCTCAAGGGGGTGCAGAGACTGTACCTTCTACTTTGGCATCCTCGGCAGGAAGGAAGATGGGCCACGTTGAGGCCGCTGGGGCGTTTGCGTTTAGGGCGGTGGGAGGCTGTGCTCGTCGGTAGAGCTGTCTTCTCAAGGTCGGGGCGCCCAGGGCGTGTAGTAGTGGACGGGTTCGAGGGCGGCCGCAGCTGAGGGTCGCTCGCACTACGGTGGAGAGGTGGGGTAGGAACAGGACTGTCGCTGAAGTTGAGCTGGTTGTCCTGCAAGTGTCTCCTATCAGCGAGGAGAGGGCGACTTCTTGGCTCCAGCGGAGCTCCTTTCTCTCCGAGGGGCGGTAGGCGTGTGCGACTGGAGCGTGGTGGCTGCCCTTTGGGCTTGGGCGACCGCCACTCTTTCTTTCTCTATTCCTCTTTCTTATGCTTATTGGGGGGGCACGTGCCATCTCGTGCGTGTGAAGGTTAGAGAACAACCAGTTTTTTTCCCTTCCACCATGTGGATCCTGGTCCCCGAACTCAAGTCGTCAGGCTTGGAGGCGAGTGCCCTCACCCTCCTCGTGGTCCTTCCTGCAGGTGGGCACCAACGGCATCATCTCCACCCAGGATTTCCCCAGGGAGACTCAGTATGTGGATGATGATTTTCCTACCGACTTCCCAGCCATCGCCCCCTTCCTGGCTGACATCGACACTAGTCACGGCAGGGGCCGGATCCTGTACCGCGAGGACACCTCCCTGGCTGTGCTGGGTCTGGCGGCTCGCTACGTGCGCACAGGCTTCCCGCTGTCCGGGTCCAGCTTCACCCCCACCCACGCCTTCCTGGCCACCTGGGAGCACGTGGGCGCCTACGAGGAGGTCAGGCGCGGGGCTGCGCCCTCCGGGGAGGTGAGTGAAGGGTGCCCTGCCCCTGAGCGAATTAAAGGGGGATGGGTTGAATTTTGTGTGGGAACTAAGGCTTGGAGTTTCTCCCCCTGCCCACCCGTTGAACCGGATGAAACCAGTGCTTAGGCGGCTTGGGAGTGAAGTCTGTTGTTCTGTGCGTGTTCTGCGGGTCCATAATGTGGCTGAATCGGCAAAGAAAACTGCTTTAGTGAAATGATGGGCTGAGGTACACATACCAAAGACCCTGGGGATCTGAGGCATTTCACAGTTTATTTCTGGAGTCACCTGTAAGTACACAAATACTTAAAACATATGTTCATTGAAGGGAAAATTGGAAAATTCCGGAAATTAAAAAAGGAACAACCACCGTTAAACATTTTTTTTTTTTTGGTGTGAAGAGATCTAACTTTTAAGTTTGTTCGGTTTTGGTTTTTTGTTTTGTTTTGTTTTCGAGACAGGGTTTCTCTGTGTAGCTCTGGCTGTCCTGGAACTTGTTCTGCAGACCAAGATGGCCTCGAACTCGCAGAGATCTGCCTGCCTCTGCCTCCTGAGTGCTGAGATTAAAGTTGTGCGCCACCACCACCCGGCTAAACTTCCGGCTATCTCTTGGGAATATCGTTGTTGCCATTAACAATAGTGGGGCCGCAGTGCGCATATTGATTGCCGCTTAAGTGCTTTTTCTGCTGGGTAGTATAAACTCGTCATTGTATTTATGTAGCCTTTATAGTGACTGTAAGGTCTCACCCAATGCATTTACGACAGTTCCCAGTGTGGTTTCCATGTTTTTATTATAATTAATACTATGGGGTGCGTTTTAACTTTTTTATTGTTCATGTCTGTGTGTCTCTGTGTCTGCTGGGGGCAGTAGGGCCAGCAGACCATGGACTCCCTGAAGCTGGAGTTAACAGCCAGTGTTAGCTGCTGACTGTGGTTGCAGGGATTTGAACTAGCACCCTGGAAGGACAAGTGCTCTCCAGCCACCTCTCCAGCCCCATGAAACACCGTCTTAAGAGTCAAATCACTTCCAAGCCTTATCTGAAGTCCCAGGAAGGGGCAGAAAGCTTACACTTTTTAATAAGCTCTTTGTAGCTTTTACCACGTTGCCCTTGAGGTAACAGTGTGCATTCTTCCGCTCTGCAGGAGGCTGTGTTCTGCAGTCTCACAGGAGAAACCACCAACAGCTCTGCCCCAGGCTTGGGTCTGGCAACATGGAATTTGCCATGGTTGGGGTCAGGGTCCTGGTGTAGGTAGAGACAGGGTCCTCCTGTGACATTCCACCTGGGTGTAAAGTGGCATAGACCAGGAGCAAAGCCATGTTTACTTTAACTCCTAGTGTTTCTTAGCTACAGAAATAGTCTTGTCTTCCATAGGAGGTTTGAGAGCTGTCCCTGCTTCCTCACCAATGGTGGCTGTGCTTGTTCCGTGTTCTTAAAGGAAGAGACCCGTTTCCTAAAGTTCAGCAAAGGTCTAGAAATAAGCGTCGTGTGAAATTATGGTTTCTCACTTGACAGGTAACATGTAGTTTTGTTTACTGACTAACCTTGTACTGTGTGGGTTTGACGTCTTAATTGCAGTTCAACAGAGTATAGCAGAATTCAACTCAAACCCTGCTCTCTTTGTTCCCAGTGTGCCCTGGGCCGGCTAGAGAAGGTAGGGTCCGCTGCTAGGTTTCATTCATACGCTGTTTTTTAAACATTTACCTAAAATCATGTATAACAAGCTTGTAGTAGAAAACAAAGTAAACACTTTTAATACAAGTAGCTGTGTTACCAATTCTTATGTTTCATTGCATTTTCTTACAGTTTTTAGACATTTCATTTATGAGTGAGGGTGTGCTTGAGTATGTGTGCGCGTGCGTGTAGAGACCAGAGATCACCTCAAGATGTGCTTGTTCTGCAGCTCAGGTCTCTCTGGGACCCGGGGCTCTCCAATCATGCTAGGCTTGCTGGCTAGTGAGCTCTGAGGGTCTGCTTGTTTCTCTCTCCAGACCTGAGATTACAAGTGTGCTGCCATGCTTTTTTTTTTTTTTTGTTTTGTTTTTTTTTTTTTTTTGTTTTTCGAGACAGGGTTTCTCTGTGTCTTTGGAGGCTGCCCTGGAACTCACTTTGTAGACCAGGCTGGCCTCGAACTCACAGAGATCCGCCTGCCTCTGCTTCCTGAGTGCTGGGATTAAAGGCGTGCGTCACCAACACACGGCGCTGCCATGCTTTTTATGTGGATGCTGTGAGTCAAAGTGGGGTCCTCATGCTTGCATAGCAAGCACTTCATAAACTTTGTTGGCTTCCCAGCTTCTCTTGTAACCTTGAAAAAAAAGCAACATGTCACAGTCATGTATGTGTGTATATATATGTGTGTGTGTGTGTGTGTGTGTACGTGCATATACACATACATATCTATGTGTGTATATGTATAGATTTATAACTTGTATTTAAACGTAGTTGAAATTTATTAATTCAGATTTATACAATCTCTGGGGTAGACACTGAGTGGACTGCTCTTATCCCAAAGGACCTTATATTTAGTAGGGACATCATTGATAACCTTTTATTATGGTAAGTGTAGTAGGCCCTATACTTAGAGAGCTTCCTCCAAACCCTTCCTGTTTAGGGAACCTTCTGGGTGGGTTTCAGTGAACAAGCAAGGTTCGTTCATTCAGGATAGTAGGTGGAGCATGTATCACCTCTGTGCTCTGGCTTAACCTATGGGGGGCATGGCAGGCGCCTATCTTTCAGAAGAGAAAGGGTGATGGAACTTAAGGCTGGAGGGCCCCATGTAGAGAGAGGTTGTCCCCTCTGAAGAGTATAGATTTGATTCCTGGATGGAGGGCAGTCTTTGAAAGATTTTAAGTGGAGGATTGTTCCTTTTGTTGTTCGTTTTGCTTTTGGAAAGCTCCTTCTTTTCCCTGTCTCTCTTTTAAGATGGGGTCTCATGTGTCCCAGGTTAGCCATAAACTCCTTGTAATGGAGGATAACCTTGAATTTCTGATCGTTTTTGCCTTCCCGCTCAACTGAGTGTTGAGATAATAGGTGTGCTGCATCACACCCTACCCAGTGAATGCTGGGATGGGGATCGAAGCCAGAGTTCTGTGCATGCTGGACAGGCACTGGACCAGCTGAGGCAGGACCCCAGCCTGAGAGCTTTCTGATGACATTAGTTAGTAAGGGCCAAGGGCAGTCACTTTAGACAAGGTATCTTCCGGGTTGTGGGTTTATAGACCTATGACACCATGTCTGTTGTTTTTTAGTGTGTGTTCTAGGGATCCAACTCAGGCCCTCATGCTTGCCCAGCAAGCCCTTGGCACACTGCGCCGTTTCCCTCCTTCAGTTTTGCAGTTCTGGAACTCATGCAGGTTAGGTAAGTCTTTACGACTGAGCCACATGAAAGGGCCCAATAACTCTTCTCAGTATACCTTCCAAGTGCTTGTAAACACACTTGTAGAAGTGGTCTTGGAAGAAGTGGCCCCTCAGTCTTCATTTTCTAAGCTGTAGACTGAGGAGACAGCACTGACTTTATAGGGTTGTCATAAGAATGAACTAAGGTGAATTTTTAAGCAGCCACTGTCACCTATGGAATCTGAGATGCGCAGATGCTCAGCCAGGTACTTGCCCGTGTTGGCTTGATAAGACCAGGTTCTGGTTCTTGTGTTCCTGCCCTGTAACAGTGGCATTGGTATCCTTTATGTAAGGATTTGGTTGTTTTATTTCATTTTATCTTGTGTGTGTGTGTCTGTCTGTCTGTCTGTCTCTGTGGGCATATGTGTCTGTGTGATTTCATGTGTGTCTGCATGACGTGTGTGGTCTGTATGTGTACATGGTGTGTGTATGATGTGCATGAATGATGTGTATGAGTATCTGTGAGTGTGCATTGTGTATGTGTTTGTGTGTATAAATATGTATGTCTATGTGATGTGTGTGTATATGATGTGTGTGTGTCTATGATGTGTGAATGATGTATGTGTGTGTACATATGGTGTGTGTATGGTGTATGTGTGTCTGTATGTTTGGTGTGTATGGTGTGTGTATTCACTGTGAATGATGTATGTGGGTGATGTGTGTGTGCATGTTATGTGTATGTCTGTGTAGTGTTTTTGTGTGATATGTATGTGGATGATGTGTGTATAGTGTATGTGCTTGGTATGTGTGTGGGTGGGATGTGTGTGATATGTATGGTACATTATGTTCGTACCACACATGGTGCACATGAAGAATTTGTGAGAAGAACCTCCTGGCGAAGTTCCTCTTAAACATGGGTTGCTGGAATTGAACTCGGATGGATTTCTAGGCAAGGGTTTAACCTGCTGAGCCACTTTCTGGCCTTCTGTAAGAACTCTACTTGGAGGGTTTTCTGAATCACTGTTTTTCCTTTGTCTGTTTTATCTTTTCTTCAGATTTTGCCCTGGGATTCATTCTGTTTGAGGAGGGCTGTGTGCACAGAATGTGTTTTCAATTACTCCTGTGGAAGGCTCTTCTGAATATATGAAAGCCCTGGAGTTTAGCTCTGAGTTTGATAGTTTTTTTCTTTAGGTAGATTTTGGCACAAACGAATCTCCTTTGCCTGGAGGAGATTATGATTTCTACATAGTTTTCTTACATCTGGTGTAATAATCTTAATGTCACAGTCACTGGAAACTTGACATCAGAGGAATGCCATCTTCACAGTGTAAAGTGATTCTGTTCATGTTCATTCTCTTCTTGGATGTTCACATTGGGTGTGATGGAATGTTCTACCCGGCATGCAGGAATGTCATGGTGGCACTGCATAAAATACACGAACAAATAAAGAAGTATTTGTCCACTCAGTCAGTCTGAGATTTGAACTGTCACTTCATAGAGCAAAGAAGTTAGGGCCTCAAGAGCGGAGTCCTGATGCCATTCGTTGTTCTGGGAGTTTCTGCTTTCAAGGGAGGGTTACTGTGTTCTCATTTGGGGGAGGGTGTTATCGAGAACTGAGTTCTGCAGTGTGTATGTGGAATGTTTTTGCTCACTAGGAATTTCGTTTGGGTTGGAAGGACCATGAGAATGGAGAATGAGATGGCTGGAGAGTTTATACTGAGCTAGGCTGTGTCCTGGGAGAAGGATGGGGGTGCAGATCAAGCAAAGAAGAGTTCTCTTGGCTGCAGTTGGAGTCATGGTGGCCGGAGCTTGAGGCTGCTGGTCATGCTGTGTCTGCAGGAAGCAGAGAAAGGTGAAGGCTGGCTCCAGGCTTTCCCCTTGGTATGCAGTGAGGATCCAGCCCAGGGAAATGGTGCTTCCTATATTTAGGGTGGGTCTTCCCACTGTAATTAGCCAAGATGATTTCTCAGAGACATGCCCAGTGGCTGTTTCGTTGCTGATTCTAGATACTGTGAGGCTGACAATCAGTGGTGCCCCTCACAGTTGACCAATAGAGGCCTTTGTATAGGGTTGGTGCAAAGATGACGGTCTTTGGTCAAGAAGTTTGGATTTGGCTGGCTTTTTTTTTTTTTTTTTGGTTTTTACGAGACAGGGTTTCTCTGTATTGTTTTGGAGGCTGTCGGTCAAGCCTGGCCTCGAACTCACAGAGATCCGCCTGCCTCTGCCTCCCGAGTGCTGGGATTAAAGGCATTGGCTGGCACTTTTTAACTTCTAGAGCTCCAGTCTAGAAAAAGTGTGTGTGTGTGTGTGTGTGTGTGTGTGTGTGTGTGTACAAGTCAGTGAAGACGGAGAGAATTGAGAATGGCTAGATATAGGAAAATGGGTTAAAAAGCTGCTGATGTCATTTGAAGCCTACCTATATGAGGGAAGACACACTATCGGGAACTTGAAAGTCTTGGGCATTTTCTTTTTCTTTTCTTTTCTTTTTCTTTTTTTCCTTTTTTTTCTTTTTTTCCTTTTTTTTGGTTTTTACGAGACAGGGTTTCTCTGTATTGTTTTGGAGGCTATCGGTCCAGCCCGGCCTTGAACTCACAGAGATCCGCCTGCCTCTGCCTCCCGAGTGCTGGGATTAAAGGCGTGCGCCACCACTGCCCGGCTTGGGCATTTTCTTAACTGCAGTGCAGAGACGGGTAGGGAACACCCTGAGCATACCAGTGTCCCACAGGAATGGGGGAAGAACTCAGGGAGTGGAGGTTGGTGTTCATGCCAAGCATGGGAGGCCAGGATTCAGTGGTCTGACAACTCAGAGAACACGTGTCCTTAGCAAGACAGAACAGTGAACTTTGTCCCCACGAAGGGATCTTTCATTTCTAATTTTGTTATCATTTTGATAAGGCTGGAGAGGCAGCTCCCTTGTGGGAAAGATGACATTCTGCTGGTTGATGTTTTATTTCCACCAGCCAGACTCTGCCAGTGTCAGATCAAGACTGAAAGGACGGAGTCTGCATCTACAAAGACATGGCGGCTTCTGCATGGTTTCTGTGAAGGAGGAGGTTTTCTGTCTCAGCAGGAAACTGGAGACACTGCAGCCAGGCCACTTTCTCCTCTCTGCTGCCCCTCACCCTATGGAGAGCCCCTCTCCTCTCTGGGATCCCAGGGAAGTTGAGAGCCAGTGACCTCCTGTAGCTTTTGCCAGTCCATCTGAGGGTTTCCCTTCAGAGCCTTGGAGCCCTTCGGGGCTCTTAGAAAGCTTGTCTCTGGGAATGTGAGGACCTTTCCCTTTGGACACCAGTCAAAGGGGATTTGTGAGGAGGGACC